GACTCCAATTTTCTTAATGTGATACCCTACAGATGAGCCCTTCCAAGCTCATCACCGACTGTTCTTTTTCCAGTGTCTGAACAGTACATTATGACTTTATGAATGATGTAGTTATTTATGATCTTACTATCCTCCCCCTTCTTTCTCATTATCTCTGAAAAACTTGTTGTCATCCTATGCTAACATCTAGATATATTGCCATAACAATTTCTGTGGGGTTACTAAATGGTACATAAGATTAGGAACATCAATGGGTGAAGTGGAGCAGAGTCTGGGTATAGTCCTAACTGGGCCACAAATGAGCCAGGTGATTTTTTGGGACCCCCCTTTCTTTCCTCAGCATTTCTATCTTCATCTATGAAGGAAGGGTTGACAGTCCTTGCTAGTCTCTATGATTCTGCCAGTCTTCACATTCTAGCATTCTGTGACTCCAGCTAATTAGGGTTTATCATAATCCAATGTCTCAAAGTTGTCTTGAAGATGTCACATTTCCAGGAAGGTGAAATGAAGCATAGAAGCTGGGAGGCTAGGACCATAGAGAATTGACTCACAGGTTTATGCTTCCATACCAAGTCACCCTCACTCTGAAAGAGTTGAATTAAAGAGAAAACTTCTAATTCCCAGTACTGGACTGGAACTTGAGAACTCTACTTTAGTCTCTACTGTCTTATAGAGTGAACTAGAAGCACTGCTGGGGGAAAAAAGAAAAAAGAAAACCAAAATTGGCAGAAAAATGTATTGAGAGCAAAAATTATTTTAAATCATAATTTTCAATTTCCCTGTGGAATCTAGATGCCTCAACAGTGGAGACAACAATTCTGCATCTCCAACATGTTGATGATGCTCAGGGATAAACTCATGTTCTGTCCACCTCGGTGTGGCCAAGTTTTAGTTGACCAGGATGTTTAGAAGATGTTCAAGAGAAGAGAGTCAGAGATTCTGCAGCAGACCAAATAGTGGAATGAAACTCTCAGTGAAGGGAAGAGTCCTGAGGACTTGGGGGGTTTACAAAGCTCAAGAATTAAAAGACAGATTCACATAAAGGGATAACTCGACCTACAGGGTGATGGGTTCAAGGGGTTAAGCTGGAAGCTATATGGTCCTCTTGAAGCAGAGTCTGAGCAGAGATTGTTGCTGTAGTGGGGAGATCTAGTATTTAGCTATGAAGCTGTGGACAAAGCAGGAAGGCCACAGTAGAGAGAACCCAAGAGCTCAGCTCTGAGTCAGCCAGACTGAAGGTAAGGGGGGCTCGATGGAGGGACTAAAAGGACATTTGAGATTTATATTTACGCATGCAGATCAGGGCTCTGTAAGAAGAAAGAGCGTCCTTGAAGGAATTGGGGGAAATTCCAAGGATCCAAAATAAATTTATTAGAATTCCCATTCATAATTCATGTATTTTTCCTTTTCTTTTAATTAAAATTCTTAAAATAATAGAAATGTACTCCCCTTTCTAGTTGATTTATAGAATAGTGAAATTCTCAGACAAAGTAGTTCTTGGTATACCCTGCTCATATATTCTCATTAAGGCTAGATCAAGGCAGGCATTTGTGAAGCAGGTTCCCTTAATCATGTCACTATTGTATTAGGAAAACATATTGGACAATATATTGTCCTCATAATGTAACGATAATTTTTTCTAAAATTGATCATATTCAAGTAAAACCACCACTCCTGTTGGCCTTGGCCACTTTCTTCACATCTCAAATGAAGTTTGAAAAAGCATAAACAAACAAACATAAACATCCAAAATTGAAATAGACTCATGACACAGACTCATAGACTGGTGGCTGCCAGAGGGGTGGGAGATTAGGGGACTGGGTGAAAGACATGAAGAGATTAAGAAGTACAAATTGGTAGTTATAGAATAGTCACGAGGCTGTAAAGTATAGAATAGGGAATATAATCAATAGTATTGTAGTAATTAGGCATGGGGTCAGGTGGGAACTTAAAATATTGGGAGGATCACTTTGTAAAGTATATGATTGTCTAACCGTTACACTGTACAGCTGAAACCAATACAAATTAAAAGAAAAAGAAAGAAAAAATATCTTTCCACTTTAGCTTCCTGCAACTATACACTTCATCACTCTCTATTCAACATCTTCTTTCCCAATAGATATATTATTCAAATCTATTTTGAGATTCCATACAGGAACATAGGCCCAAAACCCAGCTGTCCAATTTTAAATCCCACCTTTACCAGCAACTATCTGCCAGTGTGACATTAAGTTATTCAACCTCATTAAACCACTGTTTCCTCATTTGTAAGCGGGGGGATGTTGCTAATGATGACGAAATTGTATGAAAAGTGTTTAGCACAGGCCTGGCTCAAACCAGGCATTCAATATAAGTAAGTCCTATTATAATTTTAAGAAAATATTTAAAAGCTTTGGAGCTAAAGAATAATACTTTACAACCATTCTGAGTTTGTGTGTGTGTGTGTGTGTGTGTGTGTGTGTGTTTTAATTGAAACACACTGAACTTAGCAGGGAATGTGTCTCAGAGATGTGTCTCATTGACCTCTGTATCATTTTTGTTTTTTTTGTTTTTTGTTTGTTTGTTTGTTTGTTTTTCAATATTTAGGTGTACTCTTTGTTTATATTGATGAAATCCTCTACTAAATTTTAGGGCATTGTTTGCTAGAATAAGGACACCCATTAGTTTGTCATCCCTCTAATGGGTCCATAGAGTTGAGAGAAAAAGAAAGGCATAAAAGCAAGGCCTTACCCAGCTGCTGTGGATCAGTGGTTGAGCGTTGGCCCATGAATCAGGAGGTCACCCATTCGATTCCTAATCAAGGCATGTGCCTGGGTTGCGGGCTTGATCCCCCTTTGGGCACGTACAGAAGGCAGCCAACCAATGATTCTCTTTTATCATTGACTAGGGGCCTAATGCATAAATTCATGCACCTTGAAAGGAACTGTGAGCTGGGAGGCTGATGTGGGCACAGGGTTGGGTCTCAGCCCCTCCCGCTGTAGCCCCTGGTTCCCTGTCTTCTGGCAGCCCCGCTCCCGCTGCCACTGCTCCCATGTGCTGATGGTGCTGGCCCCACTTGTACCTAATGATGGTGCAGAGCGATTGGGGCCAGCACCAGCAGTGGGTGCGAGCAGGGATGGCACCATCAGTGGGTGTGAATGGTGGCTGCTGGCCCCGATCACCCCTCAGGAGCAGGGTGAGGTAGAGAGGCAGTGGGTGCAAGTGGGACCGGCTCTGGCAGCAGGTATGAGTACCAGGTGCATAGGAGCAAAGAATTTTCAGTAACCATCAGAGGTTCACCCCAATGACAGAGACTGGTACCCTGCTTTGGCTGGCACCCCTGCTCACCTGCTCCACCATCCCGCTATGGCCAATGCCTGCCATGTTTTTGTGGGTGCTCCCTGGTGGTCTGCATACGTCATAGTGGCCGGTTGTTTGGTTATTCAGTCTATTTACATATTAGCCTTTTATTATATAGGATGCTTCTCCCTTTCTCTCTGAAATTAATAAAGTATATTTTAAAATAAAGGTTTTAAGCTGGAACAAAAGAAAAAAAAGTTGTGCAGAGAATAAAGAACACTGGATTGGGAGTTCTAGATCCCTTTATCCATCATTGTATTAGTACCATAGCTATCAAGTGGGTGACAATCATCATGCTTTTAACTTGGAAATTGAATAATTGAATAAGATAATTCCTTAGATTGTTCCCACTCTAAGGTTCCGTGGTTTTGTTATTCTGCTCCCAACGGCTATGTGATAGTTATGGTACAATATTTAAAGAGGTCTGAAACTTGATTCCTGCTTTATTAACTAATGAACAAGACTTGAGTAGCTAAAGAGGATGGGAAAGGGCATTTTAGACATGGGGACCCAACTCAAGAGGACAAAAAAATAGTGAGCAACCAGACTCGGTACAAACTTGGAGACAAGTTCATAGTGCCTGGTTAGAGTGAAAGTATTAATGTTAGGAAGCTAACTGGGTCGAGTTCTGTGGGGAACCTTGAATGTCAAGCAGTTGACAAGCGTTTTATAAGAATTTTGGCAGCCATTGGTGTGCATATTGTAACATCAGGGAAGCATATTGTAACATCAAAAGGCATCATCAAAGAAAAATACAGACACTCCTCATAGAGTTATATCCCAATAAACCTATTGTGAGTTGAAAAGATCATAAGTTAAAAAAAATGCATTTAACATACTTAACCTGCCTTAGCCTAGTTTACCTTAAATGGGTTCAGCACACTTACATTAGCCTACACTTAGGCAAAATCATCTTGCTGCCACTGCCCAGCATCATGAGAGTATCCTGCCACATACTACTAGCCCAGGAAAAGACCACAACTCAAAATTCAAAGTGCAGTTTCTGATGAATTTGCACCAAAGTAAAAGTGTAAGTCTAAGCATAGTAGGTAGGTGACTGTACTTACAGTGTAATTGGAAATCACTGGCCAAAAGCTGACACAGCTAATATTTTATAAATTTTGAATTCTTATTTAAAATATACAATTCCAATATTCAAGAGAGAAGGAATTCATAACTATTTAGGCCGTGTCTGTATAACATTGCTTCAAAGAACAAAAGGAATGCTAAAATAACCCCATTTTGATATGGATTATTTGAATGAATTCCAAGTTATTTTAAAATTCAGGCAAAAAAGGATTTGCATATGTAGCCTCAGCCTAAGTTCCGAGTTTTCATTATCTAAAGCTTTCAAGCAGACAAGAGGGGATGTTTGTCACTGAGAACCCTGAGAATGTTTATCAGTGTGACCCTACCCACCGGGCTTGCATTAGTGATGTTGTGCATGTGGTCCAAAGAGAATGGTCTTGGGGATAGTGCAAAGAATTACATTCATCAGGGCTAGTCAGTCAAATGTGAAAGACTCAAATGCATTTGGAATCATTTGAAACTTTGAAAAAATAATGTAAAAAAAAGTTTGTTGGCTTATTTGCTTGTTTTCTTAGACCATTGACCTGTTGGCTTGCAAATAATATGTACAAACTCTATGTGTTTTCTTCCAGGGTCTTTCTTCCCTGACTTCAAGCCCTCTGAAACAGTTTTTAAAATAGCATTTTGGCTCGGATACCTAAACAGCTGCATCAACCCTATTATATACCCATGCTCCAGTCAAGAGTTTAAAAAGGCCTTTCAGAATGTCTTGAAAATCCAGTGTCTCCGCAAAAGGCAGTCTTCCAAACGGGCCCTGGGATACACCCTGCACCCCCCCAGCCACGCCTCCGAGGGGCAGCACAAAGACCTGGTGCGCATCCCTGTGAGCTCAGGAGAGACCTTCTATAAGATCTCCAAGACAGATGGGGTCTGTGAATGGAAGTATTTCTCTTCCCTGCCTCGTGGATCTGCCAAGATTACAGTGTCCAAAGACCAGTCAGCCTGCACCACAGCCCGGGTGAGAAGTAAAAGCTTTTTGCAGGTCTGCTGCTGCATGGGGCCCTCGACCCCCAGCCATGGAGAGAACCATCAAATTCCAACCATTAAGATCCACACCATCTCCCTCAGTGAAAATGGGGAGGAAGTCTAGAGGACAGGAAAGGTCAGAAGGAAGGGGGGGATAATCTTAGGCATGTTCACTCTTCCTGGATGTCAAGACAGAGCCCTCCTACCAGGGACCATCTGGGAATGGGTCGGGGAGGAGACCAACTCTTGGGCAGTGGGGTAGGGCTCAGGGAGGAGGGAGGATGTCACACAGCCACCCAGCTCAGAATGAGGAAAAACAGCACATCCTTGAGGCTAATGCTCTCTGGGACATCCTCTGAGCCCGCTCTCCGCGTCTGGCCCCTTCATTGAAAAACACCATGGGAAACAGAATTTCATGCACAATCCAAAAGTCTATAAATATAGGATTATGATTTCATCATGAATATTTTCAGCACACACTAAGTTTGGAGCTAGTTCTCGATGGAGTGAGGGGATTTTATTTTCGGGCTAAGCTTTCTGACAGCAGTGTTGGAGATTTACAGTGGAGAGGAAGAGCCTTAAGATGGTGGGTGATACTCATTCATTTTAGAGAAGTTTTGAACTTCATTTCTGACACATCCAGGGTCTCAGCTTGGGTTAAACAGTGAGATTTACCTTTTTTTCGGCGATTTGACCAGCTACTTCTCTTGATTCCCAAGGATGAGGGTGAGGGGCACTCATATCTCTGCACTAAAGGAGGCACATCCTTTAGGCTTGGGACTAGAGTATGTTGAAAGAACCAGTCAGGCCCTAACCGGTTTGACTCAGTGGATAGAGCACCAGTCTTTGGATTCAAGGGTCCAAGGTTAGATTCCGGTCAAGGGCATGTACCTTGGTTTCGGACACATCCCCAGTGGGAAGTGTGCAGAAGGTGGCCGATCAATGTTTCTAACTCTCTATCTCTCTCCCTTCCTCTCTGTAAAAAAAAAAAAAATCAATAAAATATTTTTTTAAAAAGGAAGGAAGGAAGGAAGGAAGGAAGGACCAGTGAAAGGATGGTTTTTCCTATTATAAGACAGTGGAGATGTGGGTAATTTTTTCAACTTAACTACTGTGGACAAAATTCTATTAAGCAGTTCCTAGATCACATGGAGGAAGTCTTCTCATGTCACATATTTAAAGATCAAAAGATTGGGGTGGGATGGGTGCTAATTCCATGCTAACCTAGAAGCTGCAAAGTTACTCTACAGCCTCTTTGACAGGGCCTAGAAACATCTTTCTTGACAAATCACTTACCTTTTTCAGAACTCTATTATGAAAAGCCACAGGTGATAATATTTTGAAAGGCACATCCATTTCTTCTGAGCTGCTTCACTAGTGCATAATGGATGAGAGCTAAGGTCTCCATGCACCTGGAGAATGATGGAATGAGCCGTATGATCTTAGGATATTTTTCCTGAAATTTGAGTGACACACACTTATCTTGGGACCATACTGACTAAAAGCCCATCAATAGCAGGAGTTTGCAAAGAGTTTTTGACAAATGTCCATTTAGTCTTGTAAAAGATCCAGTATCCCATTCACTTCATCTATTTCTACTTTCTTTAGGCAACATGCAGGGGTTTTTTGTTTTTGTCTACCAAATTTTGGTAAACCTTAATAACTCCGTATGCCTACTAAATATGAAGATGGTTATATGTAAAAATTGAAATATTTTTCATATTTTACAGTAAGAATTATAAAATGAGATTTATGGTTTTGGAATAATTATAGACTAGAATCACTGGTCTAAAACTACTTGTCATTTCAGTGGCCTCTTTCCCCATGTTTGGGTAATTCCCTCTAGAAATTTTGAAGTAGAATGTAGCCAATTATTTCAACCTTCATAGCAAAACAGTAGACAACATCATCTATTTCTTCTTCTCTTACAGCAAAATGATAATTTCCTTAAATCCTTCTGAAAGGCTAATACCTGTGCATACTGCCATGGAGGGAATGTTTGTATGTGGACTGGATTTGGTTGTTGGTTGTGTTTGGATATAGAATATTGCCACTTTCTCACCTCTTTCCGGAGAGAGTCTTCTTGCTGACCTGATAGACATTCTGCCTTGTGCTCATAAATTGGGTTCTGGCGTTAGATGTTGGCTGGATTTTTAGACTCTTCTGGACTTTCTGCCTGTCGCATAACAGCTCTACCAGATGTGGGTGTCCTATTATGGATGTAGGCACCAGGGAAGGATGTGAATATGCAAACCTTGCTCCTCTTCTGCCTTAATAGGAAAAATCAGTTTCATTATTGAGAAGAACTTCCTTCCGAATCTGAACTTTTAAAAAAACACTCTGGCCAGGCTTCTCCTTCCGGGAAGAGCATCCCCATAAAAGAATGGTAACCGTTTTTCTTCAGCAAAATATGCCTCCATGTTTGAGATGATCTTTAAACATCATTACAGATACATCTAAATATTAGACATTAGGAAGTTTAAGATCACCAGAAAGCCAGCATTAATGCCAGTGCTAATCAAAATAAACAACTAGAGAATCTTTCCATCGTCAGACAAAAGCCGTGACAATTGTGTTCATTCAAAGTGACCCATAAATAATTGTCTGCTACACTCTTCTCCAACCCTACTCTCTCCAGGGAGGCAAACTTTAACATTTTTGTCCTTTCCCATAATGTGGTATTATATGTAAACACGCCAATTTTACAAGAAATTAATAATGTCACCCAAGACTTAGCCAAAGTGGGATAACAATATCAAGATATTTTTTATTCACCCACAAAAAAATCTCTGTACCTTTGAGCATGCCAAAAACTATCTAAAATTGTCACAGTTAAACAAATGGTGGTCATATTTATACTTACATGTTTACTGCATCTATTTGGAGTTTGAAAATTTTGCCCAGAGGTCAGAACGTCTTCTCTAATGTGTTGTGAAAAGCAGTGGCTTTGGGATTGTCTCAGCAGCACAACAAGTCAGCTTGACATGATGGGATAGGCAAAAGCCAATTTCTTCTGCAATTCAAATCGCATGCATTAAGAGAGGCCTTGAATCTCTTTATCCAGAAATGTCCCCAAATGTTTGCAAGGGTTTCAGGAAAGCATTTGCTTGTCACAGTTTTCTTCCTTTTGCCTCTGTCATGTCTCATCCTAGACCCCTCCTCAATCACTCAGTGTATGCTAAAGTCTCCAAAATATTGAGGCTTGTAACTCTCACCACATATTTGAGTTGGTCCATCCATGGCAGACAATTATATTTGGGTAAATAAATATTTTCTTAAGTGCTTCTGCGAGCCAGGCATTACCAGGGCATTTTTGTACCCATTGTCTCTAAACCTTGTAGCAATTTTACCATTTCAAAAATATTTACATTTTTTGAGATTAAAACCTGATAGTTGAGAGTGATTAAGGATGGCTCAAAGCCAAGGAGGACCCATGATTCAATCCTGATTCTCCCTAAACTAAGGTCTTCATGTTGTTCTTTTTTCCCCACAGCACCCCTTTCTCATAAATAGCCAAGTCAGGACTGGGTATACTAAAGATACTAAACCATACGCAAACTTTTTTAAAATATATTTTTTATTGATTTTTTACAGAGAGGAAGGGAGAAAGATAGAGAGTTAGAAACATCGATGAGAGAGAAACAGATTAGCTGCCTCCTGCACAACCCCCACTGGGGATGTGCCCACAACCAAGGTACATGCCCTTGACCGGAATCGAACCTGGGACCTTTCAGTACGCAGGCTGACACTCTATCCACTGAGCCAAACTGGTTTTGGCCATACCCAAACTTTTTAATGTTTTGTTCCCTTGGGATTTGCTTGCCAATTAACCTCAGTAAATATGCTGCCAAATACTCATTCCAGCCAAAACCAACAAATAGCAGGTCATAACTGAAAGAGTTTGGCGTCCATAATTCTAACTATCAGACTGCACCACTTTCCTAGGGATCATTGCCCGGAATGTTACGCAGGCCTTGCAAGGAGGACAAACTGTATCAAATTGGGAGAAGGTGGGCATATAAAAGATTGCAGAAGAGGCTGCTGCATTGGCCTAGAATAGCAAAAACACACGTGTGGGTAAGAAATACATTGCATAAGGTACCAGCGTTATTGACTACCAACCACAGTTAATTGGCACACTTTCGAGAAATGTATCATTTTATAAACTAAATAAAAACAAATATGACATCATTTTTATCAACTATATTCCAACAATTTTTTTTGTTTGAAAAAGGAAATTATAGGTATTTCAGCAGGATTACACAGAGCTCAGAGAATGTGTCAAATATGTGAATGTCATATCTGTCACAATGGGGCCATGGTTCAGAATGCTGATCTCCAGGTAGCCAGAGACCTGGGCAATTTTTGAAGATGGAGATTCGGTCAGCAGCTGTGACTACTTATTAGATGACCTTTCCTTGGTCCTGGGTTTCCTTTCTTAAATGAACACTTTATGTCCTGAGTGTCTCGACTTCCTTGCCCCTTCCTAGTGAGCCATCATGCAGGACCAGTGGGTTTCATGCTTGTAACCTGAGAGAACATTTTAAGACCTATTTGCTTGGGAGCATAATTATTGAGTCTTTAATCACAGCTACTTAATCACAGCTTGACACACATTCTCACTTGCTTCTGGGGCTGGTTCTGCTCAGGTCCTCTTGCCAAAAGAGATGCTGCCCCTGCCTACGTGTAGACTTAATTAGGAAAGGGCTCTGCTTATCAGCAAAGGGAGAAGGGAACACAAGTGCACGGAAGGTAAACTCTGCAAGCGAGACAGGGTGATGGAATAGAAGGCAGAGGTGGTAACTATGGAGACAACATCAGATGTATGTGCACCTGTTACTCTGATTTCTTTTTACACTATGAGGACTTTTAACCATGAAACCACCTGCACACAGCTCCAGGTAAGCCGGTTGGGACACTGTTGGCAACTGCTCTTGTCTACAAAGTGTGCTGTGGAGCAGGCCACCGTCTTCAAAGAGAAATGGTAGTAGT